GGTGCTAACCTGGTACCCGCCCCGGACTCCTGTGCTACCCGGCCTGCCCGGCTCCTTCTCTGGCTACCTCAGCCCTGACCTGGTCCCCGCCCCCCCCCGGCCCCCGTCTCGCTACCTGGCCTGCCCGGCTCTCTGCCTGCCATGCTGTTGTGCCCTGTGGTCCCAGCGTCGCCGAGAGACAAGGTGGGTGAGGGAGGATCTTTTATGGAACCAGCCTCTGTGTGGGGAGAAGCTTTGGAGCTAGGCACAGCTCTGCCCCAGGCCCGGCCATGCTGTGTGACAACTGGAGAGCCTGTCCCTGCCCCGGCAGACCTGGGCTATCGCCGCCCCCACCTCGTCACCCTGACATTCATCTGTCTCCGAACCGAACCGATCACCAGGCTGCTGCTCCGGGCGGCACATGCTCAGTCCGTGCCAAGCCAACCCGGCAATGCAGCCCCTCCCGTAACGCCGCATCGCCTGGCTCCTAATGCTTACGCGTGATTTTATGGTTAACGTCAATGGTCCCACCCGGGGCCACGCGCCCACCCCCGATCCTGGCCTGGAGCCACAGTCCCACCCGGAGAGCCAGCTTTGGGTTTTACACCCTGTACAGTGCCGTAGGGACTGGTACAGCCAGCAGGGGGGTGCCCTCCCGCTGCCCACCCAGGGCACAGTGCCACCCACCCACGGAGATGGCAGCAGCTCTGGGGCATGACACAGACACGGCCGCTCTGCATGGCATGCTGGGCCCGGTAGCCTCCGCCAGCCCCACCCCACACACACACACACCACGTTGGCTGGTGCTGTCCCTGCAGCCACGTCACCCCTCACTGCAGAGCAGCCACCTCTGACAAGCAGCGGCAGCTGTTTATCCCCCCCAGCAGGAGGCTGCCTTTAGCCTGCAGGATGGGATGAGTGGGGGTGGCTAGGAGGAAAGGGGTGGGAGTCACAAAGGTTTATAACGGGCTGGGGGGGTGGGAGCCGTGGGACATTTACACCCCGGCCCGAGGGAACAGTCGGGCACAGTCCTGGCCTGGCCCCCGGAGCGATCTCAGCTCAGAGCCTGGACCAGGCTAAGCAGCCCAGACTGCTCCGACTCCGGAGGTGCCGGTGACTCTGGGAGCCCTAGAGTAGCAGGCTGAGGGATGTATCAGCGGGGGAATTCCACTGCCCTGCTCCCTCCAGGCCCTTCCCCGCCGGGACCTGGGCCAAGCCCTGCTCCACACTGCACCCTGCCTGGTCCAGCCGAGCCCCCCTGGGCTTTGCTGCACTGGGATCTGGGGAGGAAGCAGCCCAGGGTCTGGGGCAGTTGTGCAGGCCCAGCTTCTGCCTCCCGCCCTGCTCCGCTCACATTCTTGGGCGCTCCTGGAAGGCCAGGAATGCCGCAGCTGGCAGCCGGCGTGTGTGTACAAGCCCATGTGCAAGGGGCAGTGGCGGCCTCTAGTGGGGCACACGCGCACCCCAGGAAATGCTGCACCAGGGCCAGGCATGCTGGCATCCTGCCCTGCCAGGCTGTGAGCCTGCTAAGGGTGGGGCTGGGGAGACGGCAGGTGCAGCCAGCGGCAGGGCCAGGGATGGGACGAGATGCCTTGGCTTTCACTCCCCATGCTGGGGGGAGCTGGGTCTGTAGGGAGGCAGAGACTGAGCCAGCCTGGAGCCCCAGGCAGGGGCTTGGCTCAGTGGCAGGCCGCAAACCCAAACCCTAAAGGGGCCCCCTGTGCCTGGGGACCTGGGCAGGCACTGGCTAATGCTGGCTACACAGCCCTGCTGCTGCCCACAATCCCAGGCTGCAGCCCCCTGGGCTCCCCTCCTCCTCCTCCTCTCCCTATTTGCACCCCCCCCAGCCCTCTGCTACCAGCCCTAGTGCACTAAACCAGCCACACCCCCGCCCGTCCCCAGTGTCCTCTGGCTATTTTCTGATGTGCAAGAGCAGAACTTCTGACGTCATTATCACCAGCATGTCGGCTGTGGCCAGCTCAGGGCCCGGGAACGCCAGCCGCTGGCCATTTCATATCTATACCGCCGGCGAGGGGGAAGGACCGAGAAATCCCTTGGCTCTACACACGTGAGGATGCCTGAGGAACCCCAGCGTCCTGCACCGAGCAGCCACCATGTGCCAATTGCACCGGAATCCATCAGTTGCTCTTGCCAGGATGGGACCTGCTGGTTAATTCCCCAGCCGCTGACTTGCAGAGTAGCAGGGCACTTCTCCCCTTCTGCAGTGCTGCCAGGCCTGGAGACCTCGGGTCACCAGTGGGGTAAGAGTGCTGTCCCCGATCCCTCCTCACCTGGTCACGTGCCAGCCTGGGCCATCTCTGCTTGGGATTTACCTGGAGCCTTCAATCTGTCCGGGTCTGCCCCATCTGTAACAGCAGGTTGACCCTGGAGGATGCTACAGGCAGGGACTGCGGCTCAGACATGCGTCTGCACAGGCTTCACCCAGGGGCTGTTAAGGGCAGAAAGATTTCCTGCCCCTCCTATGCCCAGGCTGGGGGGCCCCGTGACTGGCCCAGCCTCCTGCACAAGGATGGATGGCAGAGGGCGGAGCCCACAACTGACCGTGCTGGGGGCAGAACTAGGAGCGAGCGCACAGGGCGAGGGGCAGGTCAGATGTGCCAAGGGACACGGAGCCAGGGAGGTGGTGGGAAGAGGGCATTACACTGAGCAGGGGGCTGAATCCTGGCAAAGAGCCGTGCAATGCAGCACCACGAGCCCCTGGGGTAAATAAAAGGGGGTGGGTGCTCCCGAGCCAGACCCGGCCAGGGCTGTGTTTGAGGCCAGACGGGGGGATGCGGGGGGGAGGGGGGGCAGCTGCTGGAGAGCAGGGAATGTGCCCCACACCCTTTCCCTGCTCTGTGCCCCCGGCCAGCAGCCCAGCCCACCACAGGCAGGAGCTGCCACCGGAGTTGGGTACATTTCCTGTTGGCTGAAGGGCTCTGCCTGGGGCAGGGCAGAGCCCAGAGAGGCGCCCCCGCCCCCTCGCTCGAGCTCCCTCTGACCAGCTAAAAGGAACTAGGCAAGAATCTTTCCTCCCCCGGCCCCACCCAGGCCTCTGCCAAGGAGACGGTGCCCAGGGAGTTTTCACCATCCCCTTTCCTCCAGCTGCCAGGCTGGGGCCCTGAGCCCCTTGTGACCCTCACAGCACCTTGGGGCTGGCCTGGTGCCCGGAGCACCCCCACCAGCCACAGGGGTTCTGCCCTCACACCCTCCTGAAGACCTGGGTGCCCCAGCCTGCCAAGTATGTGGAGTCGCAGCCTGAAGTCCCAGGGCTGGTGCAGCCGCAGCGGGAGCCCATGGAGAGGCCACTAGCCAGAACCAGCGGCCCCATGGCCCCTGGGAGATGCCCTTGTTCCCGCATTCATGATGCCCAGCATCAGCAGCTCTGTGCCCATCACCTGCCAGAGGAACCACAGGGACAGGGAGCTGATCTGCCTGACTCCCAGCCCCCGAAGGGCAAGGGGGCATGGCGGGGGGGAAGGCAGGGAGCAGGCCAGCACACACCCCTAGGGGCCCTGCAGGACTACGAGGACCGTGTGTTGGAGCAGACAGACTGGAGACAGTGTGACTGACAGACAGATGCTGGAGGCTGACCCATTCAGGGCACGGGGGCACCTCTTCCTCTCTCCAGTTCTTACACCCTGGGCCATGCGGGAAGGTGACCATGGTCCCAGGCACAAAGGGCTCCGGCCGACTGCATGCGGGGAGCTGTGGTGTCCACTGGCTGCAGCTCTGTAGGGAGCAGTGGCCCCACATGGCTGCTGTTGGCCCCATTTCATGCCAGTTCAGCCCAGCCTGAGGGCTCCCGATGGGGCTCTCAGCTGGGAGCAGCCTGGGGTGGGGGCACCTGCCGTGACCTTTGTTTTGGGGCAGGGGAGAGGGGCTGCAGCAGCCTGAACTGCCCAGTGCCCCCAGCAGGGTGGGCAGCATGGTCACCGCACAGGCTGGCTCTCAGCTCTGTGCCCCCAGAGGCGATTTGCATAGCAGTACCCAGGATGCTTAGCACCTCACGGCATGAGGTCAGACTTCAGGCACCGGGGTTCCCGATGGCTCCTCTCCGACGCTCATTGGGGACGTGTGTCGACTCCCTGCCTCTGCAGCGAAATCAACCGGATTCCTGGGAACCGTTGTGTCCCCCACCCTCACCTATGCAGGGTGCTTGGACACGGAGAGAGAAGCCCCACCCTGAGCATGGGGTGGGACAGCTGGGAAGGGCAGCACCCTCCTCCCCCAACCAGGCCTGATGTCTTACTGTTCCCTGCTCGGCCAGTAAGGGTCTTGCTGAGTGCTGTGTAGGCTCCCACCCCGCTGCGGGTGCCCCTCATTCCTGACCTGCTGCCCTGACCGCAGCGTGCCAGGCAGGCAGCTCTGGCGTTTCAGGAGCGCTAATTAAACTGGCCTTGGACCAGTCCCAGCCCCAGCGCAGGGCCCAGGGGAGGCGTTAGCAGAGCCAGGGTGCGTGTAACTAGCTGGCACAGGACAGAGCCATGCAGGCAGGAGGGCACGGAGCCAGAGTGGGCAGGCCCTGCAACCAGCGCTGCCAGCAATGCCCAGAGCCGTTTGCCACAGGGGTGTTCACTTCTGGGCTGAGGGTTCTCCACCCCTCAGGGGATGCTCCAGCAGCTGGGGGAAGCTTGAGCTCCGTCCCAGAGCAGCCGCGCTCCCCACACCTAGTGTCGTGCCTTCGCCCCAGGCTCAGTGCCAGCGGCTGCTGCCTTGTGCACCCGGCTAAGGGGTCTCCATTATCCCAGTGCCACACAGCCCTCAGAGCTGGTGCATGCCCATCACCTCCTGTTGGTAGGTGCCAGCCCCGCACCCAGGGCAGGCCACCAACCCCCTCTCATTCCTGCCAGTGGCTGCAGATGGGAGAGGAGGTGCCAACCTCCCCTCCCAGCACCCAGGACTGGTTCCCTCACTGCTCTAGCTCCCCCAGCGTGAGGGGCACAGGGGCTCTGCCCTGCACTGGTGGGCACCAGGCGCTCCCAGACAGCTCACACCACGCCTGTAGCATAAATAGACTTTATTCCTCTGCATGTACAGGGGCAGGAAGGGACTGCAGCGAAGTGATCCCCCTGGAAAGCAGGCAGCCCGTCCAGCACAGGGCACCAGGGCCTGGCGTAGCCTTGGGTTTCGCTGCTGGGCTTCGGACACGCCTGCAATACAGGGCAGCTGGAGTGAGAGCGCCCCCTGGTGCTCACCCCTGCACCCAGCAGCAGACCCGGAAGAGAGGCAAGTGTCTCCTGCAGCCAGGGGAGCAAGCGAGCGAGCGCCTGCCAGGCTTGCAATGGGGCAGAGCCGCCAGCCAGCCAGGCCCCACCTGTCGGACCAGATGAACTATCAACGCCCCAGCCCTGAGCCTGCTGCCGCTGTCCCACCCCAAGTGCAGGGGACTCTCTTCCTCCCCCGTCTGAGAGCCCCCAAGCGGCTGCCACTGCCTGGGCCAGGCCTTGAGGAGCTGGCCTCTCTGCACTGCCTTCGGGCTCAACCCTGCTGCCAGCCAAGCCCTAGCCCTGAGGGGGCTGAATCCAGGAGCCCCCAGCACTGCAGCAGGCAGTGCCCAGCTCAGAAATGTGTCTCCACCGCTCACCCTGCTGCCTGGCAGCCAGCCAAGGCTCAATGCAGCTAGAGGCAGGGTCACCCCGTCTCCTCTGGCAGCCAGGGAGGGAAGGCGGTAAATGCCGAGTCTCCTGGCACTGCAGGCTCGAGAGACACCCTCTTCCAGGGCCTAGGAAGTAGGGATGTCTGTGCCCGGCGTCCTGGCACCCCCCCCAGGGTTACGTACGGGGACTCCCGGGGATGCTCCGAGGGAGGTCAGGGCTATCGGCTTGAGAACCAGCCACGGAAGAAGGTCTCCAGGAAGGAGAAGGGGTCGCCCAGGTTTGGAGCGCGGAGCCCCCCCCTCTGCTGCCAGTCGCCCACAAACTGCGCCAGCTCCCCTGGAGAGCAGAAGGAAGGAATCAATGGAGCCGAGCGCTCCCAGACAGTCCCCAATAACCCTGTCTGGCCCAGCCCTCTTCCTGACCCCCCACTGGCTCCAATCACCACCCGCCCCCAGGCCCAGACAGCGGCAGAGCCCAGCCCCGGGCCCACACTCACCATCATCCGGGATGGCGTCCTCGCCCTGCCCGCCCTCCGGGATGGTGGTGACAAGGGTCTGATCCCCTCTGCGGCGGGTGACGACGGTCTCTCTGCGCCCCTGGCTGTCCTGCACCGTCCGACGCTCCTCCACAGTCTGAGGACGGGATGGCAGGCACTCGTCACACCCGGCCCGGAGCAGCCCTGGCCCTTCCCGCGGGAGCCCATTGTCAGCCACGAGGCATAGTAGGCAGTGCAGAGTGGGAACTGTGGCTGAGCCAAGGGCCAGGGACTATCCCAGCCACAACGAGCACCTGCCCACGTGTGCGAGCCCCCAATGAGAGAAGAGGAGACGGCCCTTCCCACCACAGTTCCGAGGAGTCACCCCCTTGATCCCTGGCCCTGCAGCACTCACCCCATCGGGCCCCGTCACCGTGGTAACGGACACGCTCCGGAAATAAGAGTGGGCCTTTGGCTCGCCCGGTCTCAGGACGGTCTCCAGCCCCTCCGAGGAGACTCGGGAATCCAGATCTGTGCAGAGGATGGAAGTGCATGAGGCAGGGGCACAGACAAAGTGTCTCCCTCCAGGAGCTCAGGGACCCCATCCTGGGAAGGGCCCGGGAGAGAGTGGGGCTCTGCAGCGGCGACACCAAGATGTGTCTCGTGTGCCAAACCACCTGCTGGGGCACCCGGCCCAGACGGAGCAGCAGGAGCTCAGGTCTCAGGGCTCCGACACCCCCTCCCAGTTCAGGGAGCTCTGGAACAGCACCTACCACCGCCAGCACAGCCTGGGGGTCCCAGCTGCACCCTCCCCGCAAAGCTCAGATCCTCATGCAATCCCCCCAGGGCACAAGCTGCCTCCAGACCCAATAGGCACTGACCTTTGTCCTCCCTGGCACTCGGGGGAGCCGGATGCATCTCTCCCAGCTAGGATGGAAAGCAAAGAGCCAGTTAACAGAGGGTGGTGGCATTACAGCGGCATACAGGGCAAGCGATGGGGCCTCTGATGGCTTGTTACAGACCTGTCTGGCTTTCTGGGTAGGCCTCTGCCCACCAGCTTGTGCCAGCACCTGCCAGGAGGGCCCCTGCTATCCCTGAGGAGGTACGGACAGAGAGCGAGGGCAGCGCCCCTGCCATGCCAGCCATGAGAGAGAGGCTGCTGCGAGACCCAGATGAGGCGGCTCCCGCGTGTTCACTCACCCCAGCAAACGGCCGCCAAGGCCTCATGCCTGGGGCTGCCAGGCCCGCACTGTCCCCCAAGTCCCTCCCAGGGACCGGGCCTTCTGCAGAGATCCTGGGCTGGTGACTGTCCGGGTATCTGAGCATCGAGTCCCGCAGCACCTGCCGTTTCTGCTCCTCACTCAGGTGGCCCGAGGCAGGTGGGGCAGGCTGAGTGCCAGGAAGCTCTAGGGAGCAGAGAAGGAAAGCAGCACATCACACCCCGTTCTACTAACAGCCCTCCGCCGTGACGTGTACCCCCACCCCCACCCCGTGCTGCTACTCCCACCCCAGGGTCGCTGGTGCCCCTCAATCCTGACTCGCAGCCCATTATCTCTAGGTGTTCTCTCCAGCACGATGCCAATCCTAAACAGCAGGGCCTAGAGAAACCACAGTCAATGGAGCTGTCTGCTCAGAGCCAATACCAGCCCCATACAGGGAAAGGCCCAGCAGCACCCCCCGGACCCTGCCGATCCCAGCCCTGCTCCCGGCCTGGCGCAGCGCCCTACCAAAGGGCTGGCAGGGCAGGGTCCAGGCCCCCATCTCATTGAAGAGCTCGTTAAAGTCACGGAAAAGCTCGTCAAAGCCGAAGTTGTCATGGAAGTGCATCCCGCCGAAGCTGAACCCAAAGTCCTCGTTGGGGCCCCCCCCAAATGAGGGGCCCCCATCTTCGTCGTATTCGTCGTCCTCATCCTCATCCCGGGTGATGCCCCCAAAGAAGGGGTCTCGGGGCCTATGGGGGGGAGAGGAGTCACAGAAAGCACATTGGCATTTGAGGGGAAGGCCCCCCACCCTCTGAGGGAACGTCCCACTCCCGAGCTGGGGGCACCTCAGGGGGCCTTGCCCAGCACCATGACATGGCCATCGTGGGGGTGGGGTGCCGGACTTGGGCCTAGGGAGAGAAGGAGGGAGGGAGGGGTGCTAGGATCAGGCCAGGCCCCGGCCGATGAGGAGGGGCCGAGTGGGGTTGGGGCCAGACTTGGGGGGCCAAGACCGGAGAGGGAGGGGGAGAGACCAGGCGGCAGAGCCTGGAGAGGGGGTTGCTAGGCTTGGCCCAGGGGGACATGGGGGGGGGCGAGCCGGGCTATGCTGGGCCCTGGAGGGATGGATGGAGATGTTGGGCTTGGGCCCGGTGGGGGAAGGGGGGCAGGGCCCGAGAAAGGGCAGTGAGGGGGGGGGCTGGGCTCAGGCTGGAGGAGCCATGGGGGGCTGAGCCCGGGGGGGGGCTGGGCCGGGGAGGGGGGCCG